TCCGGCTACTTGGAAGGCTGAAGTGGAAGGATGGCTGGAGCCAAGCAGGTCGAGGCTGCGGTGGCCGGGAGCGGCCACTGCACTCCAGTCTGGGTGACAGAGTGAGACTTCAACTCAAAAAAAAACACAACACAAGAAAAAGACATGAAAATCCTTTTCCAGCCGGGCTTGGTGGCTCAGCCTGTAATCCCAGCAATTTGGGAGGCCGAGGTGAAAGGATTTCCTGAGCCCGCAGGTTCGAGACCAGCCAGGTAAACTTGGCAAGACCTCGTCTCTACAATAAATCAAAAATTAGCCAGGCATGGTAGCGCACACCTATAGTTCTGGCTACTTGGAAGAATGAGGCGGAAGAATCACCGAAGCCCACCAGGTAGACCAGGAGCATGCCACTGCCCTCCAACCTGGGTGACAGAGTGAGACTCCAACTAAAAAAAAAAAAAATCCTTTTCCAGTCTTGATCCTTAAAGACCCTGAATCATTTTTGATGGTTGTCACAAGCATTTTTAAAAACTGTTAAGTAGCTAATACATATAAGAGACTATATACATATATATACTACAAACATGACATTTATGTTGTGAAAAAAATAACACCATGAGCCTACTACATGTTAAAAACTAGATAAAATATTAAACTTTTCACAAATTTGCATAACATTCTTATCCAAGGGTCAAGTCAATACACAGAAGAGACAATCAGACCATTATTTTTCCTAAGACCTCTACATTATCTTGCAGAATTCTATATGTCCCATTGAAACATCTTTCTGAATTTCTCGCTCTTTTAAAAATGCAGTACTTATTTTTTATTCCCAGTATTTGGCTCATGGGTTGCCTGTCAAATAGCTACTGAATTTTACCCCAGAAGGGTTTTCTAGATGTATGTATACCCAGAAATGACACTAAGACCTTTTTTTATATACACTCACTACCATAGGGAAATATATCCCAAAACAAGATAGGGAATACAAATGAGGTTTGCCCTCCTTTTCAAAAAAACATTGGAGGAAACCAAAACACATTTTTTAACTACAATGTTGCATACAAATTGTGAGCACTTTCTACATATTCCTAAGAACAAGTAATGGCAAAATTCTTTGCAATTAGGTAAATAAATCTCAGCTTTCAGGAATATGCTTCCTTTCTTCTTGTCCTTTTGTGAGTACCCACCATCATACAATTCAGATTCAACTGGATTAGAATCTCTTCAAAAACAGAGACCATGTATTATTCATCTTTGTGGTCTTTGTATAAGAGTACTCAAAGTTTGGTACAACTAACCTCAACTCCAAGATATGAGCTTCCAACTACCTCAGTACCAATGCAAAACAGGAAAAAGAAAAGCCTTCTCAAAAGTTTGAGAAAAAGATACTGAGAGAGAATAAAGTCAGACACTAGTGCTACATTAAATTCCCTTACCACCTAACTCAGAATCATGTACTAACACTGCAGAAGTAAATCTGCAAAAATAAAAATAAATTAAGAACATGGACTCTAAAGTTCTCTTTACTGCCAAGATGTTCAAATACAATCACTGAATCTTTCACTTAAAACTCATACTGCCGGGCTTGGTGGCTCAGCCCATAATCCCGCCTTGGGAGGCCAAGGCAAGTGAATTGCCTGAGCCCGCGGGTTTGAGACCCACCTGGGCAGCGAGACCTCATCTCTACAATAAATCAAAAAATCAGCTGGGTGTGGTAGCGCATGCCTGTAATTCCGGCTACTTGGAAGGCTGAGGCAGAAGGATCGCCGGAGCCCAGCAGGTCAAGGCTGTGGTGGCCGGGAGTGGCCACTGCACTCCAGTCTGGGCGACAGAGTGAGATTCCAACTCAAAAAAACCCCAAAAAAACCCAGAAAACAAAAACAAAAAAACTCATACCAACAACTCCATCCCTAAAACAAAACTAAAAAATAAAAAATAAAAGGCTTTCAAATGAGACCTGAAGATAAATTGGCTCTATTTAATTATAGTTTAAGTTCCTGAAAACATATGCATAAGTCATGTGATTGTACTTATTTTCATTTTCTAACTTGAGGGCTCAGTGTCTTTAATCAGAATCTCAGAAGGGTAAATGAGCCCAAACAACTTTAAGAACCACTAATCTAACATATCAAGAAACATTCTGGTGAGACACGGTAGCTCACGCCTGTAATCCCAGCACTTTGGGATGCAGAAGGAAGATCACTTGAGTTCAGGAGTTTTTTTGTTTTGTTTTTTTTTTTGAGTTGGAGTCTCACTCTGTCACCCAGACTAAATAAAGTGCAGTGGCCGCTCCCGGCCACCGCAGCCTCACCTGCTGGGCTCCGGTGATCCTTCCGCCTCAGTCTTCCAAGTAGCTGGAACTATAGGCACACGCTACTACACCCGGCTAGTTTTTGATTTATTATAGAGATGAGGTGTCACCAAGTTGCCCAGGTGGGTCTCGAACCCGCGGGCTCAGGCAATCCACTCACCTCAGCCTCCCAAAGGCGTGGGATTACAGGCTGAGCCACTGAGCCCATCATGTCCAAGAGTTTGAGACTAGCCAGGGCAACAAAGTGAGACCTCATCTCTACAAAAAAAATCAAAAAATTAGCTGAGCATGGTAGTGTTTGCTTGCAGCTCCAGTTACTCAGGAGGCTGAAACAAAAGGATTGTCTGAATCCAGGAGGTCAAGGCTGCAGTGAGCTGTAAGCCTGACCCTGCACTCCAGCCTGGGTGACAAGAGTGAGACCGCACTCAAAAAAAAAAAAATTCAATTTTCCAGAGAAATACAGTTAAATTGACTTAGGTCACGCATTCTTTCCTATTCATAGAGGAGATCCTTACTATAACATTAGTCTTTCAAAGGATTCCTTCAGCCCAGCCAAGAAGTTCCAACATCCACAAATACATGTATCAACAATTTCCAGATCCCAAAAAGTTTACTCAAAATGCAAAATAAATAAATAAAAGTAAAAAAAGCCAAAGAAGGCAGAACCAATCACAAATGAACCACCATGTTAGGTTCTTAAATGCTCTCGTATGCTTCCATATCAAACTGTTTGAAAGGCCTACATTTCCTCTAAACTGAATAGACTTTTAAGAAAGTTTTCCTGTTTTTAATTCCACACCGACTTGTCTGCCTCACTCAACTTTATGAGGATCACTGTCAAGACAACTCTCCTCATACACACAGGTCCTTTTACAGGCAACACCTTGATTCTTCTCATCCCAAGACAGAGACCATTTACTGAACAGGTAGTCAACAAATATTTATTGAATGAAAGTTACGCTGCTCTAGCACAAGTTAAGCTGTGAAACCTTCCCTCTCTCAGACATACAAGCTAAAGTGCCACAAATGCTCTACTTCCTCCATAAACAAAAATAATACAGTCATGGATATTCACGTCCTACAGGTCAGGCTGGCCAAAGACAACCTACGTTCCATATTCATGTCTGACACAACTGTGTTCCTCCAAATACAATCTGACCAATCCAATGTGCAATACAGTGAGATTTGCCAGCAAAGACCCACCGAGGGACCGTGGTATGGTGAATATGTTACTGTACTAGTGGAGAAAATGTTTAAGTTATAGTCCCAACTTTCTCACTCATTTAACACGCAACCTTGCAAAAGTTCTCTCTCTATACTGACATTTCCTATTTTGCAAAATGGGAGAAAACGACTATAAAACCAAATCACAAAGATTTAGAATCACACATCAAATCTAATCATCAAGCAAGAAAATAAGCTGTACTTCTGTAATTTCAGTGTAATAAAATGGTACGATCCTAAAAAAATAAATAAAAAATGAAAAGAAACCGAAAGAGCATTCTTAACCTATTTTAAAATGTTCATATAAACCCAGACAACAAAAAAGGCCGCCTATTCTTTATAGCCTCAGAGTGTTAAACTGTTAGATGTTCTGGGCCTTCACAACAACACAATTCACTCCATGCCAAAGCACAAACTATTCTTTTTTTTTCTGAGTTAGAGTCTCACTCTGTCGTCCAGGCTGGAGTGCAGTGGCATGCTCAGGGCCACCCCAGTGTCGACTTCTGGGCTCCAGCGATCCTTCCACCTCAGCCTTCCAAGTAGCAGGAACTACAGGCGTGTGCCACTACGCCCGGATAATTTTTTGATTTATTGTAGACAGGAGGTCTCGAACCCCTGAGTTCAGGCAATCGTCTCACCTCAGCCTCCCAAGTGCTGGGATTACAAGCTTGAGCCACCGTGCCAGGCCTACAAACTATTCTTAGCATCACACCTGGCTAGGCCAGGTTTCTCCCCTCCCCGGCCCCACACAGACATGCTACATAGAATGCTGCCATCGCTGCCCTTTCCCCTCAAGTAGCCAGGCGCTCCCAATCCCCCAAATACACACACGTATCAACCTGCCGGGAACATTCCAGCATTTATTTTAAAAATAAGCTCGCTTATAGGGGAACTCCATAGTACCGACACAAATACAGGCAGACTCTTCCGGAACACTTTCCATCCTGGCATCAACACACGAACAGCCGCTACACACCAACAGGCCATCTGTCTTCCACACCACAAACATCTCTTTCCACGCACAAACTCGCCAGCGACATTTATGAAACTTACAACACTGAGATCGTCCTGTCGTCCCTTCACACAACGTGTCAGGGCCGCCACAGACCTTGTCATATAGGTCAACTACCCCCTAAAGACCACCTCCCCACTCACTCACCCCTTGAACAGAAAGGGAGGCGCCAGTCAGGCCCACAGACACAAACTAACCTGTCAGGGGCACGGCCGACTCCGCCTCCACGCGCTTACCTCCCAGCCCCCTCCCCCAAGCCAGGAGCCCGCCGGTCAGGGACGCCCCTTCACCCCCGCCTGGAGGGACTTCCCGGTAAGCTCAGGATCCCCTCCCTGCTCTCCCCTCCCCCATCCCTCCCACCGCTCTCCCGGAGCTCCAGGTCCGGGAGATGACAGTGGCCCCGGGCCGCCACGGACTGAGCCGCCCGGGGAGTACTTAGGCCCAAAGGCCGACGCCAACCGTTCCACTCACCGTGTCAGAGGCCGAGGCCGAGAGCGATGAGAGTGCAGGGGAGCGGGGAAGAGGGGGTGGCCGCCAGGCTCCTCCGCTTCCCTTGGTCCACGGCGGATCCCTCCCGCTGGTCAGGAGGCGGCCAGCGGGTAAGCGGCTGGCGGAAATGCGAGAGAGGAGACGGGAAGCTGAAGGGCTACAGGGGCCAAACCGAGGGGAGGCGGGTCCCGCAACCGAGACGGGGATCGTCTCCCGCTCCGCAAAGCCAAAGCAAAATGGCGGCGGCGGCTCCCGAGGAGGCCCGGAGCGATGCCTCATGTCTTGTGCCCCCACCTCCCACTGCTCCCTCCCGGTGTCCTCCGCCACCGCCCCCCGCCACCCGACTCC